TATTTCTGTTACATAAACTATTTGCAAAATTGGGAAAGTATACCACCAAATTCCTTTTACCATACAAATATGGTCAGGATATCTAAACCAAGGAGAAAGTCAAAGCAGAGAAACAAAAATATAAACCAACATCCCTAATGAATTAATGTTGGTACAATATTTTCTAAAAAATATATTAGCATAGAGACTGCATCAACATATCAAAAAGATTATTCTCTATGATGAAGTTGACCTTAAGCTAATAATTCACCATTATAGTTCAGTATTATGAAACAAGAAGCACAATAGATCATGTTAATAGAATAATCAAAATCACAAGATTATATCAATATGCGCTAGAAAAAACCAACAAATTGCAATACTTATTTTGTTAAAAATAGTAAAAATTATAGAAATTAATAGACTTTTCCTTAGTATGTTAAATAGCACTTAGATAATATTTAATGAGAATAAACTGAAACCAGCTTAGTATGTTAAATAGCACTTAGATAATATTTAATGAGAATAAACTGAAACCATTCCAAGTTGTTGATTGTCACCCCTGTTGTTTGATACAGTTCTAGAAATACAAGCTATAGTGATAAGATACGGAAAAATTGAGGTAATAAGCATAAGTAAGGAGGAAATAATTTTTTGCTTTCAAATAATTGGATGGTGAACTTAGAAAAACCCTAGTGAACCAAGTCAAAACTTAATTGAAACCATGATTTTAGCAAAGAGTTAGTATATAAAATATACCCTCAAAAATCCTTAGCTTTTCTGTATAATACCAACAAAACACTGTTGAAGGATCTATAGAAATTCTGTTCAAAATAATTATGAATATATAAACTAATTGGGAGTCCTTCTTCCACGGTGTACACAGAAACTACATGAATACAACTCTGAAGTACTCTTTACAGAAATATAGATCTGAATAACCGGAGATATATTAATTGCCCATTATTGGATCTGACCAATATAATAAAAATGACAAGGCTATCTTAATTTATTTATTATTGCCAAACCATATTAACAAGATGTCAAATTATGATGCTAAAAATTAGTAATAATAACTCAAAAATCAAGGAAAATCATGAGCAAAAAATGAAGAGGAAGAGACCTAGCAGTATCAGATCTCAGAGTATTGCAAAGCAGTAATTATCAGAGATATTTGGTAAAAAGAGAAAAGTAAGTCAGTGGAATAGATCAGCTACAGAACATACAGAAGTAAATGAACTCAATGTGTAGTGTTGAGGAATTCCAAAGACATCACCCTCCCAGCAGAAGTACTAAGTCGAAGACTCAACATTCACAAAAACTGCTGGAAAAATTGGAAAGCAATTTGGCAGAAATTAAGTTTAGACCAGTAATTTATGCCATATGCCATTATTAGCTTCAAATGGATACGTGATTTAAATGTAAAAGATCATATTATTAATTAAAGGAGAAAAGAAGGATATACCTGTCACAACTATTGACAGGGAAAAGTTCATGACCAAGTAAGACAGAGAAGATCACAGATGATAAAATGAATAAATTTGACTTTATAAAATTAGGAAGTTTTATACAGACAAAATTAACTTAGTTAAAATGAGAAGGTAAACAGATTATTGGAAAAAATCTCAGCAAGTTTCTCTGATAAAATCCTGATATATATATATATATATATAAAATGTATCTGAATATACGTCTGTAGATATAAATATATGGAGCTGATTCAAACTTCTCTGAAAAAGCCATTCACCAATAAACAAATCATCAACGTATGTGAGCAAGCAGTTTTCAAATGAAGAAATTCAAGCTTTCCACATCCATATTGGAAAAAAAAATGCTCCAAACCCCTTATAATTAGAGAAATGCAAATTAAACAACTCTTAAATTTCAATTTTCTTTTCCAAATCCAAGTGGCAAATGTGACCAGAAAAGTGTGATAATTCTTGTGTAGAGACTGTGGGAAAAAAGGCACATTAATATACTGTTGGTAGACCTTTGAATCGGTGTGGCATTCTAGAAATCTGCAGTTTGATATCATACCATAGAAGTCACTATACGGAATGTGACTTTTACATAGTAATATCACTACTAGTTCTCTATTCTCAAAGAAATCAAAGTGGGAAGGGGAAGGGAATAAGCATTCATATAGTACCTATTATGTGCCAGGCACTGTGCCAAGTCTTTTTACAAGGTAGATGCTATTATTATTCCCATTTTACAACAGAGGGAACTGAGGCAAACAAAAGGTTAAGTTACTTGCCTAGGGCCATGTAGCTAGTCAGTGTCTAAGGGCCCAGGCCTCTATACACTTCACCTTCCCGTTTTGTAGATGAAAGCAAGAGAAAAAGGAGTCATGCAGAAAAAATACCGGTAGCAGCTCTTTTTATAGTAGCAATGAATTATAAACTCCTCAATTGGGGAATGGCTGAACAAGTTATGATACATGAATATAATAGCCTTCATGCACCACAAAAAATGACGAATGGTACAGTTTCACACAAAGTTGGGAAAGACTTAACATGATTTGATATAGGGTAAAGTGAGCAGAACCTAGAAAACAATTTATATAATAATAATTTAAGGAAAAACATCTAAGAAAAGAATTAAGACCTCTGATCAATGTGTTTACCGACCATGATTCCTCAGTATTTGTGATGAAATATGTACTTACCTCCTGACATAGAGTTAATGAACTCAAAACCCAATATAAAGCATGCATTTTTGGACATAGCCAATGTAAGGATTTGTTTTTGCTTGACTGTATGTATTTAATAGAAGAGTTTTGTTTTTCATTCTTTTAGTGGAGGGGGTTGGTTGGGGAGTGATATAAGAGGCTACCAGTAATGTTACTAAAATGGAAAGAAGGAGAGAGAGAGAGAGACAGACAGACAGACAGACAGACAGACAGACAGACAGAAAAAAGAGGGTCAGTGAAGTATTTTTTAAAATGCCAAAGATGAGAACAGAAGGACCATCAATAGGAAACAAATTGGGCAGCTTTGAAAATAACATATTAAATTTGTAATTATGTGATAAGAGAAAAAATTGCTATATGTGTAATATAAATTAAGACTTTTAAGTTCAATCCTTTTTTTTTCCTTTTCTACTTTGTGTATGGAAATAGTCATCTTATTTGTTTTTTATCATATCTGCAATTTTGAAAAACGGAATTGATATCCAGACTGGATTGGAAAGGTATAGAGCCTGCAAGTAAGGAGACTAATTAAGAAGTTATAAAAAATAGCCCAAGCTACAAGTGATGAAGTCTTATAGTAACATAATGACTAGGTGGGTAAAGAGAAATGATTGAAAGTTGAATTGAGAAACATTGACAATTTATTGGAAATGGTAGGAAGGGAAGAAGAAAGATTTAAGGATGACCCAGGTTACAAATGTGGTTGACTAGAAACATGAAGAATAGGAAAATTTGTAGGATGGATGGATTTAATAGAAAATATCTTGACCAAATCAGTTGGGGGAGTGGTTCTTACTCTTATAAACTTGAAAATTTGTACATATATTAAAGTATATTCATGTTTATGAAATTAGAGCTATACTTGAGAAACTTGCTATAAGGATTTTCCCCCAATTAACTTCTAGCTTTAGTTATCTTCAGTGTTCTTCTCTATTCTTTATTTGGTCATGAGTATTTCTCCCAGTTCTAAATCTGAAAGTGAATTTCTAACTTGTTCCTCTAATTTATTTAGAATGCAAACTTTTATATCTAAACCATATATTCATATGGAATTTATCTTAGCATATATGATATAAGACATGAATATATTGTGATATATGGTGCTGGTGTAGAATCTAATTTCTACTAGACTGCTTTCTAGTTTTCCCAAAAGTATTTAATGAGTCTTTACCTAGGTAGCTGGGGTCTTTGGTTCTAGAAAACATTCAGCAACTAGGTTCATTTACTTTTACATTTTACATACTTAGCCTGTTCCACAGATCAAACTCTTTTTTTAAAAAACTAGTATCAGATTTTTAAAAATTATTATTGCTTTGTAGAATAAGGTCTGGTGTGCTAGTTTCCTTCTCACTTTTGTTCATTCTTTCCCTTGAGATTGCTCCTCCAAATGGATTTTATTTGTTTTTTTTCTTATCTCTATAAAGTAATCCTTTGGAAGTTTGATTGATGTGTAGTTGAATAGTAAATTAATTTAGGTAATACTGTCATTTTTGTTATATTGACTCAGCCTAGTCATGAGCAATTAATGTTTTTCCAATTATTTAAATCTCACATTATTTCTGTAAAAGTGTTATATGGTTTTTGTTGTTGAGTTGTTTCAGTTATGTTCAACTCTCTGTGACCCCATTTGGAGTTTTCTTGGTAAAGATGTTAGAGTAGTTTGCCATTTCCTTCTCCAGCTCATTTTACAGATGAGGAAACTGAGGCAAACAAGGTTAAGTGACTTGTCCAAAGTCACATAGCTAATACATGTCCGAGACAGGATTTGAACTCTACCTGTTGTGCCACCTAGGTATGCGTGGCTGTTGAAAAGAGAAGAGGGCAAAGTACTCAGTGGCAGTTGAAAGCATCAGTTTGCCACGTTCAAGGTTTGCCAAATAGGATATGAGAGGTTGTTCGTGATAATATTGATAATATTGCTGCATCTACATATGCTGATAGTTCACAATGATGAACTTAAACAGAGTATACAGAACAAAATTAAGACTTGAGTCATCAAGAAATGTTTTAAATATGTGCGGTATACTCTGTTAAAGAAGGTAAGGGAATCTCTACTGCGTCTTAAAAAGATTTCCATAAAAATGGGTAAAAGAATTCTAGTTCATAAAGAATTAACTTATGGCTACCTAGGTTACCTCTTCTACAACTGATCTTACCCCACTGAACCGCAACTCATTTCCCAAGAATTCTAGATATGTAAAATCTCAATGTATACCATTTTACTAGTAAATTTTTGATCAGATATTATTCTAAACATTCTTCATTAGCTGGAAGTAATCAAATAATTACCGTTTATAGTTGTTACTAAAATTTGAATATTAATTCTTAGGTTATGTGTAACAATCCAAGAAGCTGACCAACTAAGAACAGAAAAAACTAATCTAGAAAAACAGACAAAAGAGCTTCAAGTAAAATTTGCTGACTTAGCAAATGAGAAGTATGAAGCAATTGTAAGAGCCAGAAACAGCATGCAACTCTTAGAAGAAGCTAACCTTCAGAAAAATCAGGTAAGAAAACACTCTGAGGGGCAGGTAGGTGGTGCAGTAGATAGAGCACCAGCCATGGAGTCAGGAGAAAACACTCTGAAAATAATAAAATAGTTAACTTTTAACAATGAAACAAAAATTAAGTTCATTAACAAACACAAAATCAGTAAATAAAAATGAAAGCATATATCTCTGTCAGGTAATCTTTTTTGTTTATTTATTTTGACATAGAAAAACTCATTAAATCAAGCACTCAACTGGGATTTTCCTTTTCTTGTAAGATTTCCACTTTTAGGACAAAGATTCAAATAACAAGAAAAATCTGTGGAATTTAGTATAAAAAAAGTTTTCAGGCTGTGTTCTCTGAGGGTCATTATACATTTAGTCTTATTCCTTATACCTTCTGTCTCTTTAGTATTCTTCAGTATGAATTGGCAGAATTATTACTCGGAAGCATACTACAAAATCTTTAATTATTAATTAAAGTCTTTTTTTAAAAATATTTTTGTTCTAGCATGTTTTAGACCACTTTTGGGGCATACTAAGATTGTCATTAACAAGGAATGAACCAAAAATGTTTTTTCTGTTTGACCCTCAGTGACCCAGAAAGTTCACTAACCAGAATAATCCATTCTCTAATCATTCATGCGATTTAGTTCAACAAGCATTTTTTAATTGCTTACTGTATGGCAGGCACTGTACTAGGCTAAAGAGAGAGACAAAAATAAAACCAATCTGGCATTCCTGAAGCTTACATTCTATGTCATGTACACAGATTAATCAACACAAAATATATGCAAAGTTCATACAGAGTAATTTCCTGAAGAAGAGAGCACCACCAGCTATGGTATTTGGATAGGTTTTTATAAGAGGTGCCACTTGAACTGAGTATTCCAAGTAATCCAGATTTTGCTATAATTTTTCAAGATGAATGATTAGTGTTCATTGTGATGGTTTCCTTAATTTGTAAGTCTGATCATAGAATAATCATAGAATTTAGACTTTAAAGATCATTTAATCTCATCCACTATTAGGAAATTTAGGTCCACAGAGTTTAAGCAAATTGTAAAGGTCACAGAAGTAATAAGCAGCAAAATTGAGATTCTAATTAAGATTCTGTGATGCTTAGTCAGTCTTCTTTCCACAAAACCATTCTGTCTCAACAAGAAGGATCTTTTTTTTTCAAGCTTAACAAACCCTGTTTTCATATGCGATAGCCTCTAGTGAGAAATACAAACCATCAGCTAAATAATTCTTTTGGAAATAGGTCAAAACAGAAAAAAATAATAGTTGATATATGAATATTTGGAGTGGAGTTATCTCTAAATTTGAGCATCTAGTGTTTCTTTTTTGTTTTTTTTTTAAGGCAATTGAGGTTAACTGACTTGCCCAGGGTCACACAGCTAGTAAGTGTCAAGTGTTTGGTCTGAGGTCGGATTTGAACTCAGGTCCTCCTGACTTCAGGGCTGGTGCTCTATCCACTGTGCCACCTAGCTGCCCCTCATGTTTCTTTTGAACTACTGGAATTCTACTTTGCTTTTAGAGCATAGCACCTTGTTTGATGCAGGGACACCATGCTGGGTGGTCCTATGTCAGTGTCTCCTGTGTCTGCCATGTCTTATAATCAATTCTAGAGTTCTTCAGAGAGACCCTGAGAGTGTCCTTGTATTACTTCTTCTGACCTTCGTGTGAGTGCTTGCCTTCTGTGAGTTCTCTGTAAAATAGTCTTTTAGGCAAATGTATATTGGGCATTAGAACAACATGGGCAACCATTGGAATTGCACTCTTTGCAGTAGAGTTTGAATGGTTGACAGTTAAGCTGAGAAAGGACTTCAGTGTCTGGTACCTTATTTAAGGCAAATAAACAAATAAATAAATAAACAAACAAATGAATAAATAAAGGTAATTAAATTAAAGGATAATATTAAATATTATTACAGAATGCATATTAATAACATATAATATATTATGATGTTCATAAAATTTGTTGGCTCAGAGAAGTTCATCAGCATTGTGGCCAGTCTACTTTAGTCTTGGCTTATAGTCTTTTCAAGTTAAATAATCTGCTGTCAGTGTGGTATTCAGATCTTGGGTCTTAAACTCAGAACCATGAGGTTATTTTGTATGCTTTAGTTTTAGTTTAGTTTTTGGTTCAATCCTGTGATTTGTATCAGTGAAGGCAATTTTCTTCATATCAGCAACTGAACTTATAGTCTTAGAGAGTTGCCCAAGACATAGTGAGGTTAAATAAGATCATAGAATTGGAGTTGGAAAGAACATTAGGGACCTAGTGCAGCCTACTAATTTTATAGATGACAAAACTGAATGGGTTAATGACCTACTCAGATTCACATAGATAGATATTAGAAGTGCCATGGGAAAAGTGCTGAATTTAGAATCAAAGGATTTGGGTTTAAAGCCAGGCTCTGCCACTTCTTTACCTCTGTGTCCCTGGATAAGTCATTTAACTTCTCTAAGGCTCAGTTTCTTCAACTATAAAATTAGAAGTATTAGACTGTATGACCCTGAAGGTCCTTGCTGTCTCTAAATATGTGATCCTGTGATAAGCAATATTTGAATGTAAGTCACAATGGAAAAAAAAGGAGCAGTGAATTATGTAGAGTCTTTTAGCTAATAGTAGCAGAGCTAACATTCTAATCCAGGTCTTCTTAATTCAAATCCACTCTATTCATCATACTATGCTGTCTCTATTAGATGTAAGTCTGCATTACCAAATGTATGAATAAGTTATGTTCCAAAAGCTAATTTATGAGTTGGTTGCTTGGAACTTAGAATGATATCTCCAAATAACGTGATATGTGGTTTAAGTTCTTAGTCTAGCTCTCAATAGAAATCATGTCAACCCATAAGAGAGTAATGTTGTCCATTTGGTATTAAAAATGCAAAACCACACTTTTTCCATAAGTAGAGTGGCAGTATAGCATATACACAAAATCAGAAAGGTCTTGGTACAAGTCCTATCTCTGACATATGTTGGCTGTGTGATCATTGGTGAGTAGTTTAACCAATCCCTCATTGTTGCAAGAAACTCCAAGATTCTGAGTTATACATGAGTTGTTGATCTGCATCAGTGGAAGAAATTTATATACCAAAAATTCCTTCTACCCTGTGCTAATGAAATCACAGATTGGACACCCCCTCTCCATGTTTTAAAACCCAGATATAAGAATTAAATTTAATTTAAAAACAACAAAAGTTCATAAAGAATAAGGGTAGCCCCAGCCTTTCGCTTTTCCAAAATAGCTATTTTACTCCTACACAGCCACACTTAAATTCCAAATACTTTTCTGATTTCGTTCAGTGGTTTTAAAAATGTATGAGCAAGCACTTTAAAAACCTTTAATGTGCTATATAGTTCAATTTTTGTTATTAGAATGGAATCACATGTGCTCAGTTTATAAGCTTTATGACACTTATACCTTTCTAGTCTTATACCTATCTCAGAACTGCTGAGTGAAAAACTTAGATAAACAGAAGGTTGGTTTTTTTTTTCATTTTCTTTATTTTTTATGCCTTTTTTTCCACAACATAGCTAATATGGAAATATTAACTTTTTGGAAATAGTAATGTTGTGTCACTTTACATGAGATATTATATTGCTAGCTTTCTCAGTGGGTGAGGGAGGGGAGAAAAAGAGGGAGAGAATTTAAGACAGAAAATAAAAATTAAAAAAATCAAAGCAAATCAAATCCTACCTCCTAGAAAAATAGAAATAAACATCAGAAAAATTTGTTTCACCCAATTCCTTGCTTCTCTTCTTGTATTCCCTTATCCTGGAAAACTATAAAAGATAGAAAATAAATTAGAAATGCCTTTTTGAAAATGAGAATTGCCTTAGGAAGACCTTGTTTTATATGATTGATGTCAGAGTATTAATTTATCAAATATGTTATAGATCTAAGCAAATGACTGTTAACTAGACTGTTAAAAATGAAAATTTGCTAATTGTATGAACCAAGCTTAAACATATATGTTGGCATTCATCAGATTAAACCTAGAAGAGAATTGGATACAAGTAGATAACTGTTTAATTTACTAGTTTGCAAAGCTATTAAAGTCAATATGCTAAAGAATACACAATAGGATTTTATTTGTTATGTGAGTTCTCTACAACACAGCTTTATCTATGTTTGATCCAGGTGTTGCTAACGTACTTTCTTTGTTTGTAATGCCTAGTCCACTAAAAAGAGAATACCAGAAATAATTCTTTTTTATGTTTCTAAGCATCATGTGTTTTTCTTTCATCTTATTGGTAAAAAAGAACAGCGTAGTTATTTCATATAAAGATAATGGAAACATTTTAAATATATTTAATATATGTTTATTATTTTATTTATATTTGAAATTAGTCATAGCAAAAGAAGGCATGGGGGGTGGAGCCAAGATAGCAGAATAAAAGCAGTGACTTGCTTGAGCTCTCCCCCAAGCCCTTCCAAATATCTGTTTAAAAAATGGCTCTAAACAAATTCTAGAGCAGCAGAACTCACAAAAAGACAGAGTGAAACAAATTTCCAGCCCAAGACAATCTGGATGGTTGATTGGAAAGGTCTATTGTGCCAGGCTGGGATAGGAGCACAGTTCTATGTAGGAGCACAGGCAAAGACCAGGCCTCAGTGAACCTGGAGCAGGCCTCAGAGAACTGAACCATGGGCAGCTGTGGCAGTTTCAAGATTTCTCAAACCACAAACACCAAAGACAGCTTAGAAGGTTAGTAGCAAAAGTCTGTGACCTCGGTGAGAGAGAAGCTCAGTTCCAGCCCCAGTCCCCGAACAGACCCTGGGTGGCAGCTGCTTCCAGAGGTCAGCCCACAGACTAAGGGGGAAATCAAGTGAGTAATCATAGGGAGATTGCAAAGATCTCTTTGCTGGTGCTGAGGAAGGATTCTCTTGCTTTGCCCATGCTTTGATCTGTGTCACAGTTCAGGGTGGCAGTCCTGGGTCAAAGAGGAGTGCTGCCTTGGTGGAGCTTGTAGTGGCAGTAGAAAGGGAATCCTCCTCACA